GCGAAAGAATCAGCTAAAAGAAGGGAGCCGACGTTAACGAAGGTAAGTTTGTTTTAAATATTGATTTTATAATGGCTTTAAAACCCGATGGCCTTTGCGTATATGAAACAACTAAACAAGACAGCATATAATTTCAGTGTATCTTTAAAGGGGAAGTCAAGTCCGTTCTGCGCATCGGTTCTGCGCATAACAATAGAGGGCCCTCTGAGGTAAACATTGCCCATATTTTAAATGTTTCGAATTTTTCTGAACACAAACTCTATTTCATATTCATGTAGAAGCATAACGAACCAAAATGGTGTTAGATATTCAGACAGTACATCATATTTTAAAAAATACAGCAGTTCAAAATGTAAACAAACCGTTTGTTTACATTACGGACTTGACTTCCCCTTTAATTAATATTGATTCCCTTTTTTATTATATTGAATTTTTTAAATAAAAAATAAAGCAAAGTTATTTGCAAGCGAGAATTTGAAATCATTTTATTGCAAACTCAAAGTTTATCGATAAATCCATTTAATAGTTAAAGGCAGTTTAGTTTTATAAAGAACACTTTAAAACGTTTTGTGAATTGTTTGTGGTTGAATTTTACCTTAAATTCAAGCTTGTATTACGTATAATTACATACCTAACATATATATCTTGGGAAATTGATAATTTTGTAATTAATTCAAAGTGATATTTTTACTTTTTAGGCGATTTTCATTTGTAAGAATATTCTTAAAAAATTATCGTGTTACCATGACAACTACTTTAGATACTTCATGTTCGGAAAATACAACGGTTTTGTCAGCAAGGCGAGGGTTTCTGCATGAATGTATTTTCTAGTAACATTTAAGCGTAATTGCATTATCAGAGTTGTTACAAGGTTTTTTAACAAATCTGATACAGTATGATATAACAGGAATGTTATAAGGTTGAAAATTGTTATTTATAGTATGTATAAATTTTCCATACCAAATGAGCTTTCGCACATTCTGATTGGCTAATTGAGCAGCAAATCTGAAGCAATATTTACTACCGGATTATAGTAAATAATGCTTTTCAAAAAGTTAATGATTCTGCAAATTTATTTTCAAAATCGACCAAATATTGAAAAAATCGTCCCCAGAAAACAAAAGAAGCACAAAATTTTGTGTTGAATGTGAACGGTAGGAATCCTTTATTATTTTACTGTGTTTAAAACGTATTCACGGACAATTTAAAACTCTGAAACATGCATGCATTCATTTCAAACAAATAGCAAAACTATGATCCCGGCTGTTGGAAAGAACCTTGCCGTGATATTTTAACCTTAATTAAACCACAATTTATCCTATAGATATCTCAATTTGTACGATAGCTTTTCTTCTGATATGCCATTTTTATTGTTGTACTATATGGTATCCTGACACTGTATGTATTATTTAACGAAAATGCTAAATGCATAGTAGTTATAATTCTGATGAAAAAGTTAGTCTATCATTTATATTCAAAGCTGAAATTCATCGAGAAAAATAACTTTGTAATAAAGCAATAAAGGCGCACAGGAAGCTATTTTGAACGTGTGTGGGGACAAGAAACACTGCAACACTAAAACGGTAATGGTGAACCGGTCAAAAACATTTTTAAAATTTCTGAATTTTAATTAAACTAATATTTGGATATTTTGTTTTATTTGTTAAACGATTTATACTAAAATAATTATTTGCCTCGGGCTTAGTGATTATGGTGAATATTCACCACCGGTAATCACTTCGTCTTCGGAGAATAATTGTTAAATAATGACTGTATCGCACCTGTTGGAACAACCTTGCATGTAACAAGTCTAATAATACCAACAATGCTGTTGCAAGTTCCTAACAAGTTGTTCCATACTTGTTGACAACTTAGGACAACCAGTGCGAGCACAACTTGTTAACAGCTTGTTGGCAGACTTGCTTCAAAATGTGCGCATATTACGAGTGAATTGATAAATTGACAAACGCTAAACTGCCCAATAAATATCAGGGCCGTCCCCAGGAATGTTTTAGGGGGGGGGGGGGTGTAAGGTCATTTTAACCGACTGACGAACGAGCTTGTACCGACCACCTGCTAGTCATGGAAGCTTGTGGAATTTACACTGGAGGTCCACTACGGAGCCATTTTTAGATTATGGGGGCTACAGCAAACATCGAAGGCGTGAGTTTGTCAGGGGGTCCGGGGAAATGCTCCCCCGGTAAATTTTGAAATCTGAGACCTCCCAAAGCCCCGGAAATGCAATCAAATTTAGTAGTCGCTATTAAAAAGTTTCTCAATAGACGACTTCTAGGCCCCAGTTACACGATATCGGATTCGCATCGGAGCGACATCCGAAATTTTACTCGAGGTGAATTTGGCACTTAAAATTCTGATAATATAACATAATTAAACAAAAACTTCATATATGAAAATTTGTAATAGCAGACAAGACTGGAAAACACCTTAAATTGATGTCGCTCCGATACGAATCCGGTATCGTGTAACTGGGGCCTAAATCTAACGTTATACCCGTCATTTGTTTAAACCGACCAGAAATAGATTGAATACTTATACTATTAAGTTATAAATATATTGTTAACTGATCTGAAAGATTTCAGTATCCTTAGTTTATAAAAATTACATATGTATGAAAATTGTTGCCCCCTCCCCCCTGCTCAGCGGTCCCTGAAGTCACGTCCGTTGTGCTCTAAATAAAGCCTGTTCTAAATCGCCATATTTGATAATTGAATTTTTGGCGGCAATATATTGTGTTCGGCGGTTCTACCTATCAAATATGCTACATATACTTTGTATCGCTATGTCGTTTAACTGTCATTCTGGGCTTGTTTTGCTAACCGATTATAATGATTATCCTGCTGAGTAAATTTTGAGTAACCAAAATTTCCATTTCTTATATAACAGGTGAAAATCATATCGGTATAGTAGTTTTATTCGTCAAAAATATTTTTGTCTGCCGACTGAAATAGCAGTCCTGCCGACTGAAGCTTGGAATAGAATTTCTGGGGGGGCGGGGGGTGTCAGCGCCGGCCCTGCCACATTTCGGGCCCGCTGTAATTGGCAAACGCTGCTGCGGATTCCCTGCCACTGTAATATGTACAAGGCGAATTAAATAAATAAATAAAATAAATAATTTTCTATAAATTATTATTTTCCGAATTTAATTTCTAGACTTTGAAGCGAAAGGATCTGAGTCATCATTTGATCGAGGGATCGATAGATCATGGTGGACAGCTACTACGGTATACTCTCGCCTTTAATTCTCAGCTGAACGACTTCATCCCACGTGCGGAAATTACAGGAATGTCGCAGAAAATCCAAGATCATATCACTGAGGTTCGCTCTAGCTTGGCAGAAAAAAATATCATGATAGTGGGAAAGTTG